GGAGAGTTCGTGAGGCACCCAAACACCTTTATGGAGTTGTCCCATATTCCTTAGGTGTTTACGTATTGTTTCATAAAAGACGTTCAATTTCTGGGCCATTTCACAAGTGTATTGCCTTGGGCTAGACTCAACAAGCGTCTTCAGAGCATCAGTATCAATTCCAACATGTCGGCCCCTGCCATCACAGTTTTTAAGGCTAAAGTCACCTGAACGAAACTTGCTGAACCATTGTTGACACTTACGAACGTTCAAAACATTTTCATAAACTTCTTTGATATTCTTTGTGGCTACAGTGGCGTTGTTTCCCCTTCTTTTATTGAAACAGCATTACATGCCTAATGTGTGTCTCGTCGTGTGTCATCACTATAAGGGATTAGAGTATATCAAACTTTACACAGTATATAGGCTACACTAACGTGACGTTTAGGCGGTTCGTTTAACTATTATACATTTTGTACGTTTTTTTGGGGGGGGGTTAACGAAAGTGTTCCAAAACGCGACATTAATTTTTTAACGACCTAATAGTTAACTGGTTTCCTTCTTTACATTTACAATTAATACAAGAAGTTATAGCCTAAAACGTGTTTAAAATATAGAGAACAATGCGTCTACTCCTGACAGTAAATTATATTCCAAGCCTTATAGCTAAATTAGTATAAAGAATTATTTTTTTAGTGAATTAAAGCCGAGTCATTCTTTTTTTTCCCTCTCTCTCTTTTTCTCTCTCAGTGCGTTATAAAAGTGACAGCTAATACTGTTATTAGGTTCATAAAGTTTTACAAAACCCTACTAGCGGCGGTTGCTATTGGTTAGCTTCCATTCCTGGTCAGTAAGTAGTTAAAAATTAATGATGGCTATACTTGAGTCTCTGAATTGGTCATTTGATACACGTGCGCTAAGATGTCGTTCCGGTTAAAAAATCCAATTTTTCTTTATTGCCCAATTTTTAAATGTCAAGTAACTCAGTTGTTTTTGTTTTCTTTTAAATACGTACCTTAGTCTGAAACATGAAAAAAACACGATTTCTAGACATATATTTCATAATTATACTTTTATTTTTAAGAAGCGATATACATATAGCGGTATAAATCTGTAATGTACATTTTTAGTAAAATGTTTGTTCCGTTATTACCTTTCATGGATTTGATATCAAACTTACATATCTAATAAGATAATGTTTAGCTATTTAACATTACCAGTTTCCAAAATAAATACTTTGTTTTATACCTTACAACAAACACACTAAAACGTATTAATAATTTACAGTATATTCCGTCTTTTGAATAGATCTTTTACATCGTTTAAAATATTTACGTTTCTTTTGGTATATGAACATTATTTCATATTCTATATTTTGACCTAGATGAAAAAGACTTGTGTTTCTCAGTCTTATACCTTACAAAAAACACATACAAAAACGTATTAATAATTTACAGCATGTTCTGTCTTTTGAATAGATCTTTACATCTTTTAAACCATTTACATTTCTTTAAATATATGAATCTCATCACGTATTCTATATTTTGGCCTAGATTAATAAAACTTGTGTTTATTAGTCTTTAATTAATCTTTCTTGGTGCTATTTGAATACGAGGAATCACATTACTGATGGTATGTGTGCACATCGTTTTATTTCTCTTGCGCCTGTGTAGACACAGGCAGTAGTATAAGGGGTCACCATGACTGTTATGCTGAATCCAGAAATATTACGGCTTGCTTGAAACATGGCTGGATTTAATCTTTGACAAAAATACCATTTTATTTACTAACGTCCCATACACTATACAACCCACCCTCAGACAAGTGTTTCTGTATGTGTGTGAATCCGCCCGGTATACCTCAATATCATTGACGTAAACAGTCTACAGACAAGCGGGAAAGTCTAGAGAGGAAAACTGCTTCCATGTTTTTATATCGACCTGTTTTACGATAAGCCTTCGAACTCTTCCATATGTCATTGTGTTGGGTTATTTAACAAATTCAAGCACATGTCTCATACGAGAGAAGGTCAATAGCACTAGAATTTTCACATAATCTACAACAAACCAGAAGGTTGATAAATACAGTATCTTCTAGCTTCCACTGTTTAGTGTGACAAAATATTGCCACACAAGCCTTGTAAGATTGGATTACCTGGTAGAATGCTGGTTACGTCCCTTTTGCAGAAGGAATGACATCTGGAATTTTCACACTGAGTTCGCGAAAGAGATCCAAAGACTCTGAAAATTCTCAATCCGCAGCAATCACATTATTTGATTAAATACAGGTTCAAATGTTTTCAGCATCATTATTTTGCTTATCGACGAGATACGGACCAAGGATGCACTGAACGTAACCATCAATGAATACAACCATCATTGATTTCACAACTAACCCTTGCTCGTGTGTACTGTAACTCTTACATACGAATCTTATAAAAGTAGTATTACAGCATCTTTGTTTCCTTCTCCCAAATGGTTTCGTGTAAAAGGGTGTGTGTATGATTAAATATTAATTATTGCTGAGTTGTATGCCCAGAACCAAAATACAGAGGAACAAAATGGCCATCCAAACGAGTCGAATACATTATTCGTTTCACAGCAAAATTATTTTTAAACTCACGTAATAGGGCAAAATATTTTTGGTTCGACTAATAAAAAAGTACCTAAATTTCTATAGATAATTTCTCTTCTAATGTATAACCGTGTGATTGGCTGTACTGATTAAATTCCTTTTCCACTGACTGATAAGAAAGGCGTGCCATGTATTAGTACTCAAATATTACACATAACAAATGTTATCGGTAGTAAGAGAGATAAACATTTGTGCGCAATTTGTTTTTTTATTATTTAAAAACATGATAGTACAACTTACATTTTAATATATACATATATATTAATGTATATTTGCTTAATGTTTACTTTTTGTACGTGCATTACGAAATAAGAAGTTCCAACCCTTCAAAATATAGCTAAGACACAGCATAAGCTACATTTACTTATGGCAAAGTAACCAACACCATCTTTAAACAATGTCACCTTTTGATGTTTATCGTATTTCATAATGATAACAACATATTGAAGACTAAAGATGTGTAAAGATGGCGCTCACAATAAAAAATTGGATATAAAGTAGCAAAAGTGGCAATCAAGTGAGCAACATTGTACACGTGGGCCTACATAAGATCTGTTACATATGGAAAAAAATAATGATGTGTTAATAGACAAGTTAGATCCTGCTACTTTAACTTAGGATAATTTCATTACAGGCCAAACTATCTTCATTATAAATACGTATTTTTTTTGGCCTTAAGTTGTAGACAAGACTCCCATCTGATGGAGTTTTGTTTTTCTGTTCCGTTTCCCAATGACAAGGTTAGGGAAATTTTTGTGAACACTTATTCTTTCTGAATCATAAGATACTGTTAATTCTGCCCCCCCCCCCCAGTGGCAGCACAGCGGTGTGTCTGCGGACTTACAACGCTAGAATCCGGGTTTCGATACCCGTGGTGGGCAGAGCACAGTTAGCCCATTGTGAAGCTTTGTGCTTAATTACAAAAAATAATTCTGGTCTGACATGGCCCAGTGATCAGGGGCCTCGACTCCAATCTGGGGGTCGCGGGTTCGAATCCTGTCACCGAACATGCTCGCCTTCATTGTACTCTAACACTTCTATATAGCCCTCGAATAGCTTTGTGCGAAATTCAACGAACAGTTAATTCTTGTTCTTGATGGTAAACTAAAGTATTATTACTCAAATATTACACATAACAAATGTTATTGGTAGTAAGGGAGATAAACAATTATGAGCAATTTGTTTTTATTATTTAAAAACATGACAGTGCAACTTACATTTTAAACTCGCAATCTTAAAATATATATATATATCCCACATTAAAAATATCTGAAAAATAATAATTATAATACCGTTTTTATTTTATTGATTTTAAACTTACTTTCTTTGTCACACCAAAATTTGTGAAACTAATCCAGTTAGTTTCAACGAAACGTGCATATTTAACACAGAAAAGCGCTATACTTACTTTTTACTACACTCAAATCACGTGAATAGGCAGATTGACTCACCAATAAATAGAAGGCAAGGAAGATAGACTGATAAACAAATTGAGAGAAAGACAGACATTAAGTAGACAAGTAAGTGTCTTAGGAAGATAAAGAGATAGATTACGTGAAAAATTGCTAAAGAAGTACAGAAAGAAATATTTTTATAGTAATTTGAGAAAAAATGGAGAGAACGACAGGAAAATCCCCGTGTTCATAAAGATGGTTTGATCAATGATGCGTTCACAGTGGGAACAGGCCGCGTAGTTTAAACTCAGTAGTAAAAGTGATACATAGATCAAGGAAAAGAGCCATTTAAAAGATGAACTTACATCAACGTCAATGCCTTCGAGCGGGAAGAACTGTTTCGGTGGATTATCTCGTGGCACAAAGCGGAAAAACTCCATATCATCTCTATACCACTTGACTGAGTAAAGACTCTCGCCTTCCAAGTTGTAGTGACAGCGAAGTGTTAGGTCCGAACCAGAGTGGATATCATCTGGGAAGTCCAGCGACATTATCTGAACTCCGGATATCGCTGTACGGAAGAAAGGAATTCTTTAGTCACACAAATCATTGGCTCATTCTTATATATTAGTTGGTCTAAGGCTCGTTTTTTAATGATAAAACCTTTTTATTTCCTTTGAAAATATACTGAACAAGGAAGATTACGCTTGATAATATATACTTAAAAGAAAAGTGTGAATCGCTAAGGGAAGCAGTACCTTGAAAACATGGGAAGATTACTCTTGATAATATATATTTAAAAGAAAAGTGTGAATCGCTAAGGGAAGCAGTACCTTGAAAACATGGGAAGATAACACTTGATAATATATACTTAAAAGAAAAGTGTGAATCGCTAAGGGAAGCAGTACCTTGAAAACATGGGAAGATTACACTTGATAATATATATTAAAAGAAAAGTGTGAATCGCTAAGGGAAGCAGTACCCTTGAAAACATTTTTGAATTCATTGAAAATGTTAGTAATTAAATCAACGATACTACACTTCTGACTTGGAACAATAGAAGCTTTTGGGAAAAGATTCCTAAAGCTTTAGGCTGCATGATATTTGGATTTTATATTAAATTGTTTTTTTTATAATTTCAGCTATGAACAAGTATTAAATTATTCAACGAAAAGATCTTCCATAGCATTGTTCTTTTTCACATTCGGAAGCTGTCATGTACAGACATTTGAAACATTCTATGGCATAAGATGGTATGTATATAAAACACAGCGATCTCACTGTCGAAAGTTTATTAAAATCAAACAAGGAAACTTTTTCAAATAGAAGGAATGACATAAATTGATTGATTTCTTCGTTTAATTTTCCACGCTTTCAATTTATCCACAAGTTGGTTCAGTTTCTTGAGTATAGCCTCAAATTGAAATCTTAAAATTTTTTGACTATTTTTCTTCCAATCTCTATTATTACAGTACAAAAAATATTCAGACTTGATCAATTACAAAATTTACTAACATATATTCCCGAACATAAAAAGGCTTGTTACGTGTTTCATTCGACCGGTTTTTCTTGTTGAACTCAATTACCAGAGAAAATTCAATTATTTACAGAGTGGAAGATATTTTTTTTAGGTTCCTGAAAAAAATGGTACATAATCTTTATAGATACATTTTAAAATTTACTCTATAATTAATGGCACTTATAACAATTTAAAGTTGTTCTTTTCTCGTGTCTGAAACCACACCACATCGTATCAGCTGTAGAAATTATACGTTATGCAACAGTTTGAACGTTAACAGAAGGGAATTCCTTCATTCAAGGAGTTCCGATATCCTTAAAAATGTTGTTCAATTTCACGCTGGATACGCGAGAACTATCTGTGTTAGCTATCACTAACTTAGAAGTGATCAACTAGGAAGGGCAACTAGTCTACACTATCCACCACCAACTCTTTGTCTACTCTAATCAAAATACATGTAGTTGGATTTTGACCGTCACGTTATAACGCCCTCTTGGCTGAAAGGGAAAACATGCTCGGTGATGACATTCGATTCCTCGAGCGCCCTCACCACCGGGCAATGACAACTAACCCTGAAGTATCGATGTTATTCTGTAAAGTGTAAAGTTCTAGGTGCCTCAGCAGTGGCCCTGCATGGCCAGGTGGTTAGGGCGCTCGACTCGTACTCTGAGGGTCGCGGGTTCGAATCCCCGTCACACCAAACATGCTCGCCCTTTCAGCCAGGGGGCGTTATAATGTGACGGTCAATCCAACTATTCGTTGGGAAAAATAGCCCTCGTGTAGCTTTGCGCAAAATTCAAAAACAAAATAAGACAAACAAGCCTCAGCAGTAAGCTGCTTATAGCCAAAACTAAGCGACGTATAACCAAAACTAAGCAGCTTTTAGCCAAAACTAAGCAGCTTATAGCCAAAACTTTGGCGGAAACAAAGTTACTCTTTCTAGAATCGTTATTAGCAAGTAATTTTACATCTGAAACGACTAACAAGCTGACATATATTTGTTGTGCACTCCCCAGTGGCAGAGCGGTATGTCTGGAGACTTACAACCCTAGAAACCGGGTTTCAATACCCGTGGTGGGCAGAGCACAGATAGCCCCTTGTGTAACTTTGTGCTTAACTTCAAACACACATCTGTTATGTTTATTTAATTTTTATTTTAAAAAGGAATCTTCCCCCTTTTTTTTGTAACTCAAAATAAGATTTACAGAATCATTTGACTTAGGACTTGATCCACTTATTAGCAATTCTTAATTACTTACCAAATAACAGATTGATTTTACACACGAAATTTGTTTTCTTTACAATATGCCAAATTGGGATCATTTTTGTAACTGGTCTATGTCGGATATTCGAGTAAAGGTCATATGTGCTAGTCATCCACAATTTTCAACTGAAAAAATAGAAATAAAGTAGCTAATAAACAGCACCCACCGCTAACTCTAATGAAAGAACGAACTTTGAATGCCATTTTTATAATGCACCGAAGGTTTCAAGGTGCAATTGAGATTTTCTTTGCAGCAACGGGACGAAAACCATGTATTGTCGGATTCACAGTTAGACACTTTGACCACTAGGCCACGTTCAGCCGTTTTTAGTTGAAAATGAGGTGATAAGTTACCTAATTTTATTTTACTGAGTTCTATTTCCCTCCTTAAAGTTTTGTTATTTAATAATGCATAATATTAATTATATGAGTTAGACATTAAACTTTGTAGCACCACAAGTATACTAACTATAATTTTTTGAACCACAACACTCAGTCTTGCTGTCTTGATAAAACGTATATTCTTTTAATTCAATTAATTTCTTTACATAAATAATTAGGTAATATTTTATGCCGATTTTCTTTCTAAAAATCGCCCCTCCTCCTCTTGTGATTAAACGAAATTATTAATTATTAGTTTTAGTAAAAACCTAAATTTAGAAAAACGAATTTCATAATAAATGGACTGCCAGTAGTCAAGTAGTTAGCATGACGAGCTGCGGATTAAATGCTCGAGACGGTATGCCACTGAACATGCTCTGCATTATCAGCTATGAGTGCGTTATAAAAGTAATAATTAGTCTCGCTATTCTGTTCATAGAGTAGAACTAAGTCCTTAAAACATCGTTTGCTATTCCCTGGCTGCTTTCCCTTTGGGCAGTGATTTAAAAATTAGGGACGGCTATACAGGAATCCTGGGGTTTTCTGACCCAGCCGTTTAATCCACGTGCAACAAATAAGGGCGATGTATCGAAAATTCAATTTCTGTTGATACAATGCTTACTTTTTCTAAATTTATACCAAAGTTTTTTTGTGTCGCTGTAGTTTTTATTATTGAATAATAATATCATTAATCATTTAATATATTTTAGGAGTTTTTTACTGTCTGATACGCTAAAACATCTAATATTATTTTTAATTAATAAAGCACTAAAACACATAACTTAAAGAACATTGTTTAACAAAGGAAAATAATATAGTCAATGAAGATACAATAAACAGTTTTTGTTTCCAATGCACAATTATGTAAGGTGTTAAATACCTTTATTGTGCGTTAACCGATTGGTTTCACCTATTTGTTAGAAAGGCATGGTTTAGAGTAAAGCTGGACTGTGCTGTGTCTACCGTGGCTGCACTGTGCTGTGTCTACCGTGGGGAATCGAACCCTGGATTTTTAGCATTGTACTTTTCGCGAATGACATGTCATGGCCTGGTTTTTAGGTCGATCGACTCGTAATCTGTGGTTAGCGGGTTCGAATCCCCATCACCGAACATGCTTGCCCTTTTAGCCATGGGAGTGTTATAATGTGACGGTCAATCCCACTATTCGTTGGTAAAAGAGCAGCCCAAGAGCTGTCGGTGGGTATTGTTGGCTAGCTGTCTTTCCTCTAGTCTATCACTGCTAAATTAGGTGCAGTTATCACAGATGGCCCTTATGCAGCTTTGCACGAAATTCCAAACAAACCAAACCTTTTTAGAAACAAAACTTGATCAACTTTAATTGTAAAAATGCTATTGTTAAACTCAAGAAAAAAAGCAAACGATTACATTAATAGAAAACAGGCCACTCTTCTTAATTCTTCCAACATCGAAAGCCAATTGATATATAACATTCTTAAAAATATTATTTTTATTGAATGCTTAAAGAGTTCCTGTGTGACAAAATTTGTGCGTTTTTAGATTATCTTATTTTATATGTGTTGATTAACGTTTTTAGATTATCTTATTTTATATGTGTTGATTAACGTTGTTAGATTATCTTATTTTATATGTGTTGATTAACGTTTTTAGATTATCTTATTTTATATGTGTTGATTAACGTTTTTAGATTATCTTATTTTATATGTGTTGATTAACGTTTTTAGATTATCTTATTTTATATGTGTTGATTAACGTTTTAGTATTATCTTATTTATTATGTGTTGATTAACGTTTAGTATTATCTTTATTTATATGTGTTGATTAACGTTTTAGTATTATCTTAT